ATAACATTAGGCAGCACACTACCTTACCTACACACACCTATAGCTTTTATCGTGCTTTTACCTCGGGTATTTATGTAAGTTTGTTTTAGAAATATAAGAAAGTGTAAAAAAATCGCACCGTCCTAATAGTGCAAAGTTTCCTCACAATAGATGTAGCTGGAGCGTTTACATGGGTAGGAAAATCAGGTACAGTCCTATAAACTAAGCTAGTGAGTGCTTAGTAAACACTGGGTAAATGATTAATTGTCATGTTGTTTTTTATTTTATTTTATTTTATTTTATTTTATTTTATTTTATTTTATTTTATTTTATTTTATTTTATTTTTGAGACAGGGTTTCTTTGTGTAGATCTGGTTGTCCTAGAACTGGCTCTTTAGCCCAGGCTGACCTTGAACTCAGAGATCTGCCTACTTTTGCTTCCTAAGTGCTGGAACCAAAGGCATGCACCACCACACCAAACCTGATTATCATTTTTTTTTTGTAAATTAAAAAATGTAGTGTGTGCACTCATGTGTGTCGGTGTACATGCCCATGAGTGCGCACTCGTAGGGCCGGAGGCTTCCGTGAGGCGTCTTTGTCTGCTGCTCCCCACCATGCATTTTGAGACAGGGTGTCTCACTGACACACTGGCTGGTGAGTGAGTTCCTGGAATCCACTTGTCTCTGCCTCCTTGTGCTGGGATTATAGTGTGTGCTGCTGCCAGGCCTGGCCATGTGGGTGTTGGAGATCTGATTTGTCCTCATTCTTGTGCAGCCAGCCCTGCACTCACCACAGCGTTTCCGCAGCTCTCTCCATTATGTCTGAGGCACTGACTTGGGACATTTGCACTGCCTTAGATTCTGGGATGACAATACCTTGTGGCATTCTTCTTTTTCTTGTTCTGATTTAATAGCATACAATGACCCTTTAAATATGTCTTATTTGCCTTTTCACTTTCTCAACTTTGGTAACAGTTTTATAGTAAATATATGTATATATATTTATAGTAAATATAGATATTTACTATACTATAGTATATTTACTGTTATAAATATATATAGTAAATATATATATTTATATATTTATATATATATATATATATATATATATATATATATATAATACCTATATACTTGGAAACTCATGGACTTTAAATATAAGTTAAATAGTAACATTAGCCGTAAATCTTGATCACCACATAAAGTATTTTATGAAAGTGAGGCTTGCTTTCTGAATTAGCAATTATTCTTAACAAGGTCTGTCTTGCCTTTCCTTGTCGTCAATATTCCAAGTTATTTCCTGGAACTAAGGTGGACTCCACGTTTATTGGGAAAGATCCAACACCATAGCATGGTACTGAAAAATGACCTTTTGCAGCTTAGTTTAGTCAACTTTGTTTCAGTTCCTGAAGAGTGAGCAATATTTGAGTACATAGTAAAAATGCATACAGGGAGATGAGGGTCAGGGTTATCTCCAGGAAGCTACAAACTAACCAACGAACCAACCAACGAACCAACCAACCAACCAACCAACCAACCAACCAACCAAAATAAAAATTTGATGTCATTATGATGCTCAGGGTGAAAAGACCAACCAGAGCATAGAACTTTAAAATCATCTCTTAAATAGACAGAAACATTTTAATGTGATGAGCAAAAATATACTTTTACATAAGATACTTTACATAATAGGCAATAGGGAAAGCTTGTTAAGGAAAGCAGCATCGGTTTGATCTCTAAACCATTGTCTATGTACTTATAAAAACACGTTTTACTAGAACAGAAAGTGTTTCAGCGAATAAGGAGCTGAAAGAGAAAACTGTTATCAAGCTGTGGGTCAAATACTGTTGGGAGATTAGTACAATTTCCAAAACAAGTTTATTGGCAGTGGAATGGGTGACAGATTTGCCAGACTAGAGCAGGAAAGGATCATTAGTATTGACTTGAAGGCTACCCATTAACCAGCCATAGCAAACTACAGTTTCAGGACCAGATCTAATCATTACCTGTTTGTATATGGTGATTTAACTAAAAAGAGTTTTCACACTTTTAAGCGATTGAAGTAATCAAAAGAGGCCATGAAATATTTTGACAATTAAAAAATATAATTAATTTAAATATCAGCCTCTAGAAATGAAGACCTGTGCTCATTTGATTCTGTATTGTCTGTGGCTGCTTTTAGGATGCAGTGACAGAACTGAGTATCTCTAGCAGAGAACCATCAAGCCTAGAAACCAGAAAGATCTATTACTTGAAACTTCACATAAAAGCTGGCCAGACTCCGGCTGAAGAAGATGATGATAGTTCTTTAGGATCAAGTTATGGACATCATGGACATGCATGCTTGTTAGAACAGCTGGAGGGACGGAGCTGCTGAGAAGAGGACACGGGCTATGTCAGCACTGTTTACCGTCAGGGAGAATGAAGAAGACATCTGAGCGCCACTGTTGTTCAGAGCAAGGCCCTGACTGAGCTACACATGGGCTTGTTCTGACAAGCCCGCCTCAGGAGCATTAAGCTTCTTACCTAATCACTCACTCCCTGGGGGCAAACTTGCACCTTTCTCTCTCCCTCACTTTTTGTTGTTACTTCCTTTCTTTTTATAGTACTGTTCTAAAACTGACATATTAAGAAATGGTATTGGTCACAGAATGTGGGGAATATTGCTTGTCTTCCAGCAATTTAAGACCAGTCAAATATATCTGTACGTTTAACTCCTGCATTTACTCAACCTCTCATTAATTATACATTTCCCCCAAATGAAAAGAAAAATGAGACAGCAATTTGGCAATTTGAAATCTTTGAAGGAGTTAGAATCCAGAAAGTCTACGTTAGGGTGAATTTAGGTGAATTTAGCTATGTTTTGGAGTGGCAAAGAAGTGTTTGGATAAGCATTCTTATGCAAGAGGCATCTGATTACACGAACATCCACTGATATGAGAATAGATTTATTCCTCCATTTTATTGATGATTTTGAAAACACTCTGTAATCATACCTACTTTGGAGCAGTTAGTACCAAATGACTTGCTGAGGAAAAACAAGGTAACTAAAAATGATAAATTGTACCTTAATAAACAAAATAACAAAACAAAAAGTTAACTGGCATGATGAACAATGCTAAGGAAATGAAGAGATAGTGTTTCAAATGGCAAATGTCTAGTAATGTGGGCATGAATACTAATTATTAATACTACTATTAATAATTAGAGTAATGATGATAATTACTACTGATATTTGTATATTTCTTTCACACGGACATTCAATGTAATAAAATGACTTACCATGTTTATGACTGCAGGATCCTCAGGTTAGGAGTGGGGAAACAATCCTTTTTTTTTTCATACAGAGAAAACATGAGCGAGTCCTACGTCTAGTGGGATATTTACATGGTAAAGGAGCTGGTGGCAGCACTCAGAAAGACACACTCATAATTGTCCAAATTGTCTGTCTTTGTCTCATGCTATCCCTCTTGCCTCTTTACAAGTCACTCGGATATCGTGGGAATCAGGGAAGGAAGTCACTGTAGTGTCTTCGCACAGTAGTGAAATCAACTTCACACACACACACACACACACACACACACACACACACACCAGATCTGATCTGCCTCAGTCATTTTTCAATTGTTTATAAGCTTTCTTTATCATCTCTTTTCTCTATTCTCCATTTAATTCAAAAGAGCATTTATTGTTTAAAGATAGTCTACCATAAAATGAAAACATGTATGGTTCAAATAAAAGGGTTTTTCACGTCTTATTCCATTTTTTACTGCTAATAATTCAGTGCCTCCTGTATTTTTATTATGCATACACTATAATTATTTAAAAAATAGAATGTAAAATACATCTCATTCATATTCATCATCATGTTTTTTTTTTTTTTTATTAAACGGTTAATTGGCCATTTGCCCCTATCACTTAGTGACTGCTTAGCTTGGATGTCTGTCTGTATTAAAAACCACTGTCAAACAAATACAACTCATCATACTTCATATCTCAGCATACTTATCATATACTTCCGGCAAATCTGTCCCACTTTCTATAAGCATACATTGATATTCCTCATCTGGCATGCACGGACATTGGTTAAAGCACCTTTCTACCCGTATTAACCCCAAAGTCTTGCTTACGTCTGCTGTATGCATCCCCCGTCTTCTGCACTAGATGAATAGCAAGCATTCAGAGACAGAAGGGACAGGAGGCAGGCTGGGGAGCTTCCTGGGCACAAGTGTGCAGGGAAAAACAAACACCTGATGAAAATATATTTTTATACTGTAGTTATTGCTGTTCTAGGTACAGGTGTTTGGAACCCTACTCAGGGGAGACCAAATTGGTTAGAGAGAGGACTCTGAAATTTCCATGGCTACCATCCCATGGGAAAATCACAGCAAGAAGGAAATGAAACAACTAGGGTCCCTTGGGCCTACCTACTGTATCCCATAACCTGCAGCAGGGGCAGGCAGAAGCCTGTGGAGATGGTGACACCAATTTTCCCTATCCAGTGTCCAGGCACAAAGATGCACTGATTCTGCTTCAGGATGGATGTTATAATATTTCCTGGTGGTCCTATATCACCAAGCAACAATTCTTCTTGATTTCTATAAGTAAAAAGTATTTATTGCCAAGTGCTTTGCAGTTTGCAAGAAGCTCCCTGAGCTCACTGGGGAGCTGCAGACAGGATTTGTGTCCTATGCTTTATTGGTAGGTGGAGAAACTTAGCTCAGCATTTGAATGGTTTGAGCCTGAGTCAGAGCTAGTAATGAAAAGGCTGAAAGTACAATCCTCTTTAATGGGATTCAGTACCCACAATGCCTCCACAAGGACAGTACATTCTCTACATCTTTTATGTGTTGGATGAGTAGCATTCTAGAAAGAAAGAAGCCTGTTTCACTCAATTTATAGTCATGAGAAACAGTTCATTACAAAACAAAAACAAAAACAAACAAAAAGTCTCATAGCCAAACACTGACTTTATTCTTTCTAGTGTTTGCATTTGCTTAACAACTAGAATATATAACCCAAATGGTCGTCAATGCTACCAACCAAACCAAAGCGTGGTTGTGCTTTGAGGGGAATATGAAGTCACACATAAAAGGCTCCCATGACATCACTAAAGCTTACAGGTGAGTGTTAGCTCAATCATCCGGGTTCTTCAGAGGTCTTCTGTAATCCCATCTGTGCAGCCTCAAGGTTTGGTTTGGAATTTAATCATACAATTAGAAGGCAAGTAGAATTAGGTCTGCAACCCGGTATGTGGTTCAAGCTTTACTACAGTTCAAAAACTGTTTAACATTCTCCTGTCTAGAAATAAACTTTAAATGTGTATCTCTACAGCACCCTACTCTGTAGCTTGGAATCAGCTTGCTGGACATATGACAACTCACTCTTTAGGAAGCCCCATGTACAGGCCAGCCAGAACAGTCATTACTTTACATATGGAACGTTAGTCCTTACAAGTAATCCTATTACATAGGGACCATTCCTATCATCTTTGTTTTATAAATAAAGAAACTAAGGCACAGAGGGGTCAAATTACTTGCCCACATTCAGGCATTCAGAACCAGGACTCGTCTCAGCAGCTACGAAGGACGCAGCACCCTGTCCTCTGGATGTTCTTAACTTGCCTAAACTGTAGATGAGGAATGTGTATCCATATAATCTCTGTATTGACTTTCTTCCTCAGGTCACCTGTGGTGAGGGCCAGGAAGAGAACTTGTGTGGAGCCCTGGGTTATTGGCCTCATCTCTTTCTTATCCCTGATTGTGCTGGCAGTGTGCATTGGACTCACTGTTCACTATGTCAGATACAGTAAGTATGAGATGCTTCAACATCATGTGACTTACTCCAACTGTTTCTTCATGGAGTTTCCTGTTTTGGCTTGCCTCAGGGTTATTTCTCCATCACCATTATTTATTTGCATTAGCTAAGAACTCTTTGAATGAATTTTTTTAAATCTTCACAAACCAAGAAGGTCCATCCTTCTATCTTAGCTTCCTGCTAGGAACAGAAGGCCACTTTTCAAAATAACTGCCAAGTGATAAAGAAGTCCTAATTAGGGGAAGACCACAGGTTAACTAGAACACAGTATCTTAAGTTAGTTGAGATCACAGGACAATAGCATTTATTAAAAAAATCTAGTTCATCAAAAATTTAACATTCCAATAAATGAATTTCACACTGAAGTATCGTAGAGGTCTAAGCTCTGTTCTGTTCTAAGTCAGTAGGAGAGACGTTCATAATGGCATATTGCTAAATAAGTGCCTATGTCATTTACAATCTCATCTTGGGACATTAGTGATGACAGAGGACAAGGAATGCTGAGGTTAATTATGAGGAGGTTCACTCTGTGTTTTTGAGGTCTCTCACTGCCAGATGGTCTGCTGGTTGCTGTTATTAAGCAGGTGCCCAGGGGACTACAGATACAACAACCCTTCTAAAGTTTCCCTATACTGGGCTTCGGGTTTTAATTAGTTGACTCAACTATGACATCTTTGTTTAATATCCCCCTGTGTGACTAGATTATGTTTTGCTCTTGAAGACCATGAAGCCATAGACGCTAACCACTTGATTCTAATTTAATTGGGAATTTGATGAAGGTGCTTTTCTATACAGAGAAAGAGGGATATAAATCTGGTTATCTTCCTCTGCTAGCTACAAAGTACAATTTCAGTTTCCAAAGCAAGGCAGATACATCACCTTTGGGTGGTTTAAAGAAGAACAATGTTTAAAGCAAATTTTTTTTTAGGTGGAATTTTTACACATGCAGGTCTTTAAAATTGGAGTATCTTTATTTTGATAATAGAAATTTCTCTGGTATACTTTTAATCCAAAAGAGTTGCTATAATAACATTACAATACAGCTCTGCCATAAAGATACTGTTACTTCTCGATGCATGTGTAAGTCTACGATTTACTAACTTTTATGTTTTCAAAAATGGAAAGAGCCTGGCATATATTAGGTACATTATAAATGTTTGTTCAATTCTGAGTGATAAAAAAATAAATGAATTACTTTTAGAGCTCTCTGATTTCATAAGAAAGCCCTAGTAATGTTAGAGGCTTGGTCACTTTTGTGAGAGAAAAACACTTCCTCCTTCATCTCCTTTGCATTTTCATGAACCCAGGTTTTACAAGATTATGGGTCTTAGTTGTATGTGTACACTGAAAACTGGGTCATGTTTTCCAGTAGTTGGTTCCTGTATCATACTACTTGGGTGATCAGTTCAGAAACACACAATTCCAGTGCCCACACAGCACACCTGAACAAACAGTGATTCTTGTATGTTACTATTTTCCATGAATGACACACTATCTGGGGGTGGAAACTAACAATAGATTAGATAAAACAATGAACGTTTAGGAATTTACATGCCAAGCTAAGTAGTTGTGTTACAGAATAAATACGAATGTGACTAGGTTTGGAAAACCATCATTTGGCGCTCACTTTAAAAAGCTCAGCTCAGAACTGATTGTATAACTCATGTTCAAAACCTTTGGGCCTTTATTTACGCTTATCTGTGCTGTGAATGTCAAGTGGCTCTGTCAGTGAAGAACATCATTACAACTTGTAGAATTACAAGCCTGAGAAAATTATCACAAACTCATGTTCATTCTTTTTTTTTTTGAGACAGGGTTTTTCTGTATAAAAGAGCCCTGGCTGTCCTGGACTCACTTTGTAGACCAGACTGGCCTCAAACTCACAGAGATCCATCTGCCTTTGCCTTCCGAGTGCTGGGATTAAAGACATACGACCACACCCAGCCTTCATTCATATTTTTATCATATCCAATAGTCATTCAATTATAAGAGAGATAATATAATACTAGAAGCTGGAAAAATTACTAAAACATAGCGGCCTGTTGAAGTCTGCAGAGCAAGGTACAATATTGATTATGTAATTATTCCTGTGCTTGATCCATATGAAAGTGCTGATAGTTGTCTATGTCTTACCTCTTCGAAATGACAAATCCAAGTGATGCAAACTATAATTAAAAAAAATCACAAGCTATGTTTAAGTGAATAAAGGGACCTATTATCCTCTTCCTTATAACATTACTGTTTAATGTGTGGCTGAGTACTGGCTACATCAACATCAGCTTGAAAGAAGAGGAAGGAGCCTGAGTCTGGGTGAGGCACAGTCCATTTTCTTACAATAACCATTTTCAATGGTCTTAGGTTACTATCATATTTACAATGCTTACTACAATGTCTCTCACAGGAATGTGGTAGGCATTACTGTTCACTGAAGGGAGACACAAAGTCTCTGACTCTTTTGCTTGTAGAAGAGGAAAACTATACTACATTACTCTACAGGACAAAGTAGCAGGTTGTGTGCATTAGCAGAGACTGGACACAGGTGGCTAAGAAGCAGACAAGACATACCCTAAACCCAGTGGGAAAAATAAGTTCTGTGACAAAGGATCCCAGTGAACCTCTATAGTGTCTTCAGAAGGTTATACCAGGTGGCAATTCTAGCTCCCTAAATGTCTGTTTCCTCAATTCCTATCCACATTTCCATCTCCAAAAAAAATATACTTCTCATGCTGGAGTCCAGAATTGATGAATAGTTTACTGAGTGTGTGTGTGTGTGTGTGTGTGTGTGTGTGTGTGTGTATTGGGGGGAATTCTACTTCTTTAATATAAAATAATTCAGCCCTGGGAAGTTTCTGAATAAAACCTGATGTGTTCATGCAGATGGCATGACTAGATATCCTTTGGGCTGGCAAGGGAACGGGTAACATGTGTATAATTAGCACACAGCTCTGCTGTGGTGTTTACACAGCACCCCGGAGCAACTAGGCATTTCTCACATCTCTTACACGCCATATTAAAGTAGGATGGGTATTTCTCTTTATTTTGAGATGGCTCTGGAGCCTGGAGCAGGATGATGAAGCAGATGACTAGGGTAGGAGCATTCCTTTTTGTCTTAGTGTTGCTAGTAGTCACCGAATGGAGTGATAATGATGCATCACACATCTGATAAAGATTGTGACGGGTTTTGCCTCTTCCCTTGTAGATCACAGGAGGACCTACAATTACTACAGCACATTGCGGTTCACAAGCGACAAGCTGTATTCTGAGTTTGGAAGAGAGGCTTCTAAAAATTTCACTGAAATGAGCCAGAAAATTGAAACTATGGTGAGTGGCTTCTTATTTGTGTTTATGACATTGGGATGTCATGGTTTCTAAAATACCCAGTCAGATGATCCCTATATATCTTTGAAAACTGATAGAAAGTCATACAAAAGGGATCCAAAACGAAACTCAGAATACCTGACTTAGAAGACTGTATCAGCAAGGCCAGAGCAAGTAACATCTAGTTGCTCATGAATGTCCCTCCCACTCATCTTTTCTACACCAATGCTTTATTCTTGATCAACATAGTCCAGAAACTAGGGGAATGTGAGGCTGATGTGGAATAAGGTTCTTTCCCAACCCATAGAAGAGTCTCTGAGCAAAAGAATGTAGAGATTAAAACCATTCAGATCCATATGTAAACACTATGCTTACTTGTAGGCACATTGAATATATCAATTTTTGGTATACAAGAATATTTGCACCATAGACTGAAAGGACAAAGGCCTCAGTGATGAATTCTCATCATTATATACATAGACAACAATTGGAAAGTTTCTTGGCTGATGATGTAATTTATGATATGAAGTGATGGGAAGAGAACTGAAGAGCGAGTTCTATCACCAGTGGTCAGTCAGTGATGTGGCAATACGTGGTAGATGACTTTTTGTTGTTGTTGTTGTTCTGGACATTTTTTCTCTTGTATGTTAATTTAGGCATCAAATTAATATAATTTGCAAAGTGTCTTCTAGTTCCAATACTCCAAATTTGGACAGAATGGAAATAATTTGTATTGGTCTGCTTTGTTGGCATAGTGAAATACTTCAATAGTCTATTTCCTAACAAAAGAAGGCTTATTTGGTTCACGGTTGGAAGGTGCTAAGTCAAAGGCATCTGATGATGGCCTTTATTTCTTGTTGGCATCAGAAGGAGACCTACCACATCACCAGACAAAGACGAGGAACACTTACATAGTACTCTCTCACTCTTTTTCAGAGCTACCAGGCTTCAGTCATGGGCTCTGCCCTAATACACGTATCTAAACTGAGTCACCTCCCTAATGCTCCACCTTTAAACACTGTGGCTTTTCACTCTCTTACTACATTGCGATGGGGATTAAATTGCAGTGCATCAAGCCCTGGGAGGCGTTCAAACCATGTCTAAACATCAGACTGACCAACACCCTTTCACTGAAGCTGTGTAGCTCACTGAGGAGGCAATCAGATCCTGGTTACATGTGTACTTGCAAGGAAAATATCAGAAGAAGCTCTTCCCCAATTGTCAGTATACACGTAAAGTAAGGAAAAGGAACAGAGCTCAGAAAGTCAGTATATTACTATCTCCCTACCCTTTTTTTGGGTGCCATTTGCCAAAATAAGCCTTCTAAGATCTAAATTGATTTAAATCTAAAGGAATATAGACCTTTAGTACCTTCAAAATCAATAACAACTTCGAAATTAGTTGATAAAAATAAATCCCTAAGTGATAATTTCCAAGTGAGACTATCTACATGCTGTATACAGGAAGACACTAAAATTTTTACTTACCCAAACCCTGAATTTTATCTATCTGTCTGTCTGTTTGTCTGTCTGTCTGTGTCTGTCTGTCTGTCTATCTATCTATCTATCTATCTATCTATCTATCTATCTATCTATCTATCT